AATAGGTGCCTATATCAAGAAATTGGAAAGGTACCAAATAAATGAGCTTTCAGTGCATCTCAAGGACATAGAAAAACTGCAGCAAACCAAACCCAAATCTAGTAGGAGAAGAGAAATAATTAAAACCAGAGAAGAAATTAACAGGATTGAATCCAAAAAAACACTACAAAAAATCAGCCAAATGAGGAGCTGCTTTTTTGAAAAAAATAAACAAAATTGACACCCCATTGGCCCAACTAACTAAAAAAAAGAAGAGAAAAGATGCAAATCAATAAAATCAGAGATGAAAAAGGAAACGTAACAACAGACACCACAGAAATAAAAAGAACCATCAGAAATTACTACAAGGACCTGTATGACAGCAAACAGGAAAATCTATCAGAAATGGATAGATTCCTGGACACATGCAATCTACCAAAATTGAACCAGGAAGATATAGAAAACCTAAATAGACCCATAACTAAAACAGAAATTGAAACAGTAATAAAGGCCCTCCCAACAAAGAAAAGCCCAGGACCAGATGGATTCACTGCTGAATTCTACCAGACATTTAAAGAAGAACTAATCACATTTCTTCTCAAACTATTCAGAACAATTGAAAAAGATGGAATCTTCCCAAATTCTTTCTATGAAGCCAGCATCACCTTAATCCCTAAGCCAGAGAAAGATGAAGCACTGAAAGAAAATTATAGACCAATATCCCTGATGAACATAGATGCAAAAATCCTCAATAAAATTCTGGCCAATAGAATACAACAACACATCAGGAAAATCATCCACCCAGACCAAGTGGGATTCATCCCTGGTATGCAGGGATGGTTGAACATTCGCAAATCAATCAATGTGATTCACCACATTAACAGACTGCAAAAGAAAAACCATATGATTATCTCAATTGATGCAGAGAAAGCATTTGATAAAATTCAACACCCTTTCATGATGAAAACTCTAAGCAAATTGGGTATAGAAGGAACATTCCTCAATATAATCAAAGCAATTTATACAAAACCCACGGCCAGCATTCTATTGAATGGGGAAAAGTTGGAAGCATTTCCACTGATATCTGGCACCAGGCAGGGATGCCCACTCTCACCACTGCTATTTAACATAGTTCTGGAAGTTTTAGAGAATGGGAAAAAATATTTGCAAACTATGCAACAGATAAAGGATTAATAACCAGAATCTACAAAGAGATCAAGAAACTCCACAACATCAAAACAAACAACCCACTTAAGAGATGGGCCAAGGACCTCAATAGCATTTCTCAAAAGAGGAAATCCAAATGGGCAACAGGCACATGAAAAAATGTTCAAGATCACTAGCAATCAGGGAAATGCAAATCAAAACCACAATGAGGTTTCACCTCACCCCGGTGAGAATGGCTCACATACAGAAATCTAGCAACAACAGATGCTGGCGAGGATGTGGGGAAAAAGGGACACTAACCCACTGTTGGTGGGAATGCAAACTGGTCAAGCCACTATGAAAGTCAGTCTGGAGATTCCTCAGAAACCTGAATATAACCCTGCCATTCGACCCAGCCAACCCACTCCTTGGAAATTACCCAAAGGAATTTAAATTGGTAAACAAAAAAGCGGTCTGCACCCTAATGTTTATCGCAGCACAATTCACAATAGCCAAGACCTGGAACCAACCTACATGCCCATCAACGGTAGACTGGATAAAGAAATTATGGGATATGTACTCTATAGAATACTATACAGCAGTAAGAAACAACGAAATCCAGTCATTTGCAACAAAATGGAGGAATCTGGAACACATCATGCTGAGTGAAGTAAGCCAGTCCCAAAGGGACAAATACCATATGTTCTCCCTGATCGGTGACAACTGACTGAACACCAAAAAGGAAACCTGTTGAAGTGAAATGGACACTATTGGAAATGGTGACTTGATCAGCATAGCCCTGACCGTTAATGAACAACTTAATACATTATCCTTCTTAGCATTTTTTTGTCTGTTCTACTTAATATGACTGGTTTAATTCTGTAATTATCACACAGTTATTCTTAAGTGTTGAAAATTAACTGAAATGTGATCCCTGTTGAACATAAGGGTGGGAATAAGAGAGGGAAGAGATGTACAATTTGGGACATGCTCAAGCTGACTTGCTCCAAATGGTAGAGTTAGAAACATACCAGGGGATTCCAATTCAATCCCATCGAGGTGGCATGTACCAATGCCATCTCACTATTCCAAGTGATCAATTTCAGTTCACAATCAATCATAATGAAAGGACTAAGAGTCAAAGGGAGCACATAAACAAGTCTAGTACCTGCTAACACTAACCGATAGAATAAATAAAGGGGAGAGTGATCCAACATGGGAAGTGAGATACTCAGCAGACTCATAGAATGGCAGATGTCCTAAATAGCACTCTGGCCTCAGAATCAGCCCTAAAGGCATTCGGATCTGGCTGAAAAGCCCATGAGAGTATTTCAGGCATGGAAAGACAAGACACTCTGGCAAAAAGATCTCTGTGAGTGAGATCCCAGTGGAAAGAACAGGTCTTCAAAGAAGGAGGTACCTTTCTCTGAAGGGAGGAGAGAACCTCCACTTTGACTATGACCTTGTCTAAACAAGATAAGAGTCGGAGAACTCAGAGGGCATCCATAGCCTTGGAATCTCATGACCGGAGCATAGGGAGACTACTGATGCCATAGACAGGAGTGTCAATTGGTAAAGTCAACAACAGGAGTCACTGTGCACTTACTCCTCATGTAGGATCTCTGTCCTTGGTGTGCTGTACATTGAGATTTAATGCTATAACTAGTACTCAAACAGTATATTTCACTTTGTGTTTCTATGGGGGTGCAAACTGTTGAAATCTTTACTTAATGCATACTAAACTGTCTTCTGTTAAAAAAAAAAGAAATTATCAATTCCCAACTTGGATCTCACTGGGATTAAACATGACAATAGGTCTGATCTGATTTCATCATCATTTAAAAAATCATCTATCATTTTTCACTTTATGTTTCTGTGTGGGAGCAAACTGTTGAAATCTTTACTTAATGTATACTAAGCTGATCTTCTGTATATTAAGATAATCGAAAATGAATCTTGATGTGAATGGAAGGGGAGAGGGAGTGGGAAAGGGGAGGGTTGCGGGTGGGAGGGACGTTAGGGGGGGAAGCCATTGTAATCTACAAGTCGTACTTTGGAAATTTATATTCATTAAATAAAAGTTAAAAAAAAGGAGGTACCCTTCTCTGAAGGGAGGCGAGAACTTCCACTTCGACTATGGCCTTTTCTAAATAAGATCAGAGTTTGTGAACTCAAGAGGCTTCCATAGCTTTGGCAGCTCATGACAAGAGCCTTGCGTGATTACTGACATCATAAATAAGAATGTCAGTTATTAAATCAACAACAGGAATCACTATGCACTTACTCCCCAAGTAGGATCTCTGTCCTTAATGTGTTGTGCTATGTGAATTAACCGTATAACTAGAACTCAAACAGTACTTTATACTTTGTGTTTCTGTGTGGGTGCAAACTGTTGAAATCTTAGTATATACTAAATTGATCTGTATATAAAGATAATTGAAAATGAATCTTGATGAAGAATGGGATGGGAGAGGGAGTGGGAGATGGGATGTTTGCAGGTGGGAAGGTGTTATGGGGGGAAAAAGCCACTATAATTTAAAAGTTGTACTTTGGAAAATTTATATTTATTAAATAAATGTTAAAAAAATTAAAAAAAACACAGAATTAATCATATTGGTATAAAATCAATTGAAAATAGATCCCAGTAAAAAATAAGAGCGGGAATAAGAGAGGAAGGAGGAAGTTTGTAATTGTAAAGCTGTATTGTTCTGCATACATTTCTATGGAATTACCTCAAATGGTAAGCTAAAAATTTCCTATGGGACTCTGGATCCCATGGTAATAATGCAATTTTAAGTGTTAAAGTGATGATATTAAGTGTAAAATTGACCATATAGATAGAACTGAATGTTAAAGAGATTATATACATAAGATCAAGTGTCTGGTAATATAATAGATAGAATTAAAAAAAGTGAAGATTTCAACATGAGAAGCAGTACACACAGCCAACTCATAGAATGACAATCGGTCTAAACAGCACTCTTACCTCAGAATTAGGCATTAAGGCATTCTGGTCTGGCTGAAAAACCCATGAGAGCATTTCAGGCATGGAAAGCCAAGATACTGTGAACAAAAAAATGTCCTCCATGAAGGATTTCTGTGAGTGAGACCCGTGGAAAGAGTGGCTACCAAAGTAGGATGTACTTTTCTGTGAAGGGAGGAGAGAACTTCCACTTTGCTTTTGGCCTTGTTTAAATACTGAAATAGATTGTGGACTCAAAAGGCTTCCATATCTTGGAGGCTTATGTTAAAAGCCAAGTATGATCACTGATGTCATACATAAGAGTGTTAATTGTTAAATTAACAACAGGAGTCACTGTGCACTTACACCCCATGCAGGACCTCTGTCCTCAATCAGTTATACTATGAGAATTAACTGTAAAACTTGCTTTCAAAGAGGTTTTTTTATATTTTGTGTGCATGTATGGAAATTTTTGAAATCTTTTATTAGTATAGAGTCAGTGTTCGGTGTATAAAGTTAATTTAAAATGAATCTGAATGGAGAATGGGACTGGGAATGGGAAAGGGACGAGGAAATGTAGTGAGAATGGGGATGGGATGGCGGGTATGGTGGGAAGAATCACTATATTCCTAAAGCTGTGAAATTTATGAAATTTGTACTCATTGAATAAAAGGTTTCTTAAAAAAATCTATCCGGCAAAATTCAAATTTTTTTGCATGAAAATAACTATTTTTTATTCTGTTTTTTCATGATTTTTTAAAATGCACTTATATTATTTTTAAGATTTATTTATTTATTTGAAAGGCATACTCACAGAGAGAGAAAAAAGAATCTTAAAGGATCATAAATGAGAAGCTTCAGCCTGACTGGCAAAAACTCTTGAGCTAAAAGACAATGAAGCAATACCTTTAAAACTTGAGAAAAAGTTATTTTGAAACTAAAATTTTATACAAATTTTCAATAATATGTCAAAGTACAGTAAGATCAAAGGATATTTAGATATGCCAAGCATCAAAAAAAATTCTATACATAGTTTCTCAGAAGCTAACAGAGGCCGGCGCCGCAGCTCACTAGGCTAATCCTCTGCCTTGCGGCGCTGGCACACCGGGTTCTAGTCCTGGTCAGGGCGCCGGATTCTGTCCCAGTTGCCCCTCTTCCAGGCCAGCTCTCTGCTGTGGCCAGGGAGTGCAGTGGAGGATGGCCCAAGTCCTTGGGCTCTGCACCCCATGGGAGACCAGGATAAGTACCTGGCTCCTGCCATCAGATCAGCGCGGTGCGCTGGCCTCAGTGCACTGGCCATGGCGGCCATTGGAGGGTGAACCAATGGCAAAGGGAAGACCTTTCTCTCTGTCTCTCTCTCACTGTCCACTCTGCCTGTCACAAAATAAAAACAAAAACAAACAAAAAGTAGCTAACAGAAGATGCATTCAACCAAAACAAGGGTGAAAACCAAGAAAGAGGAAAACAAGAAATGCAGGATAAAGAAGCACCATGTAGGAAACAAGATTCCAATTCCTAGAATGATGGGCAACAGAGACCCCCAGAGTGACAACATCACAAAGAGAATAGGATCTTGAATCCAAATTGGAGTAACCAGGAGGTTGTAGGGAAACATTCACCAAGAAAATAAAATTGACAGAAAGTCTGCGAAGTATAGAAATGATCATGAGAGAGTTAGACAATGATGACATATTAGGATTCCATTAATGTTCAGTAAAATTACCTAAGCAAAGAGTTAATATGGGGAGCAGGTATTTCATGGATTGTTTAAGATGCCACTTGGGGACGCATACATTCCATTTTAGAGTGCTTGAGTTTGAGTCCTGGATCCAATTCTGATTCAAGTTTACTGCTCATGTGAACCCAGAGAGGCAGTAGGAGAAGCCTCAAGTACCTGGGTCCCTGGCTCACAAGTGAAGACTCAGATGGAGTTCCAGGCTCCTGGCTTCAGCCTGACCCAGCCTTTGGCTGTTGTGAGCATTTGGGGAATGAACCAGTGGATGGGCAATCTTTGTGTCTCTCTGCCTTTCAAACAAATACATTTTTTAAAAATCCAAGTAATTGTCTAAGAAACACAAATAGTTGTTAAAGAAAATAATGATAATTAACATGGTTCTTGGTTATCAATATTCCTTATTCACAATGAGCTAAATGCTGCATACTAAACTAACCAAACACTGACATATCTGTACTAGGGCACTGGAGGGACAGCAAAGTTCATTGCCTAGTTCGCAGTGGAGAGTTAGGGGGGAGAGAGCTCATTATTTCCTTATGTTGAGAAGCATAGCAGCAGCATGTGATTTAAGGACCAAAGTGTGGAGCTCAAAAGAAAGCTCTAATAGTGAAAAAGATGATCCCTGAGAAGGAATGGTGGGAGAAACACCAAAAGGCCTTGAATAACATGGGTTAACATAGGTTATAAAAGGATACAAGTTTCTTAAATGATCCATTCTTACCTTTGGAAACTCAGAGAGCCTGTCATCTCTCGTCAAAGACTGGCTACTTGCACATGAAGCACAGTCTGAGATATCCACTGCACCCTCACCATCTTCAAATTCGTTAACATTCACCAGCACCTCCCCTGTCAGTGTCAAGCTCCCAGTCAAGGAAATGCAATTCATCTAAAAAATATAAGTTGTAACTTGCTTAATTTCAAATCTTTAAAAGTTTTAAATCTATTTTTATTATCAGTAGTTGCTATATCTACATTTCTGAATAAATTTTAAAAATACATTAACTTTGGAAAATATATTCCTAACCTTATTTCTAGTCACTTTGTTTCTCCCATTTCTTACCTCCACCCCAATCTAAGTTAACTACATTTACTATCTGTTTTATATCCTAGCAGAGTTCCCATTGCCTGTTTCAGTAAATACAAGTAATTGTGCATACTTTATTTTTCCTCCTTTCTTACAAACCATAATCTTTTTTACTTCACATAATTAAGATGTTTTTCCTTATCAGTAAGCAGGGAATACTCTCATTCGCTTCTACAATATAGAATTCCACTGTGTCAATGAACCAGTGTTTACTTAGTCAGTTCTCCAGTGCAAAAAAATTTTTTTTCAAACATTATTTTCCACTCAAATTTTTCTATACATTAATTTCTTCTATAAGGGAACCATTAAAGTAAGGAAGCCATGAAAGTAAATTCAGTTTTTAGATTAAATCAAAGCATTATTAACTGGATGCTACTTTTGCAAAATTTTAAGGTGGAAAATTAAAATTATCTTCATCTTAAAAAGCCAAATGTCTTTATTCTAACGCAGTCTGCTTAAAGAAACAAATATCATTATTAAAGACAGATTAGTCTCTGAGGTCTAGCATATCACATAAACATTTGCTGCACACCAACACCTAAGTGCTCCCTAAGAGCTACTGCAACGACACAGAAATCTCATAAAACAACATGGTCCTACTTCAGTCTGATAGCAAAAAGATTCTTCTGAAGTGCAATGAAGTAATATTAAAAATAACATATTAGCTTTAATACCTGAAGTAAATTTAAAACTTAAAAAATTTAAGGGGCTGGTGTTTTGGTGTAATGGGTAAAGCTACCACCTGCAATGCCAGCATCCCATCTTGCCTTGGTTCATGTCCTGGCTGCTTCACTTCTGATCCAGTTCCTGATAATGCATTTGGGAAAAGCAACAGAAGATGGCCCTGTCTCTCTCTGTCACTGTCCATTCTGCCTGACAAAAAAAAAAAAAGAAATTGGAAAGCACCAAATAAATGAGCTTTCAATTCATCTCAAGGATCTAGAAAATCTGCAGCAAACCAGACCCAAATCTAGTAGGAGAAAAGAAATAATTAAAATCAGAGAAGAAATCAACAATATTGAATCCAAAAAAATTGGAAAAACACAGCCAAATGAAGATCTGTTTTTTTGAAAAAATACACAAAATTGACACCCCATTTGCCCAACTAACTAAAAAAACAAAAGACTGAAATCAATAAAATCAGAGATGAAAAGGGAAACATAACACCAGACACTACAGAAATAAAAAGAATCATCAGAAATTACAACAAGGACTTGTATGCCAGTAAACAGGAAAATCTATGAGAAATGGATAGATTCCTAGACACATGCAACCTACCTAAATTGAACCAGGAAGACACAGAAAACCTAAATAGACCCATAACTAAAACAGAAATTGAAACAGTAATAAAGGCCCTCCCAACAAAGAAAAGCTCAGGACCAGATGGATTCACTGCTGAATTCTACCAGACATATAAGAAGAACTAATTCCAATTCTTCTCAAACTATTCAGAAAAATTAAAAAAGAGGGAATCCTCCCAAATTCTTTCTATGAAGCCAGAATCACCTTAATTCCTAAACCTGAAAAAGAAGCAGCATTGAAAGAGAATTACAGACCAAAACCCTGATGAACATAGATGCAAAAATCCTCAATAAAATTCTCGCCAATAGAATGTAACAACACATCAGAAAGATCATCCACCCAGACCAAGTGGGATTTATCCCTGGTATGCAGGGATGGTTCAATATTCACAAATCAATCAATGTGATACAACACATTAACAAACTGCAGAAAAAAACATATGATTAGTTCAATAGATGCAGAGAAAGCATTTGATAAATTTCAACACCCTTTCATGATGAAAACTCTAAGCAAACTGTGTATGGAAGGAACAATCCTCAATACAATCAAAGCAATTTATGAAAAACCCACGGCCAGCATCCTATTGAATAGGGAAAAGTTGGAAGCATTTCCATTGAGAACTGGTAGCAGACAGGGATGCCCACTCTCACCACTGCTATTCAATATAGTTCTGGAAGTTCTAGCCAGAGCTATTAGGCAAGAAAAAGAAATTAAAGGGATACAAATTGGGAAGGAAGAAGTCAAACTATCCCTCTTTGCAGATGATATGATTCTTTATTTAGGGGATCCCAAGAACTCTACTAAGAGACTATTGGAACTCATAGAAGATTTTGGCAAAGTAGCAGGGTATAAAATCAATGCACAAAAATCAACAGCCTCTGTATACACAAGCAATGCCATGGCTGAGGAAGAACTTCTAAGATCAATCCCATTCACAATAGCTACAAAAACAAATACCATGGAATGTGCTTAATCAAGGACGTTAAAGATCTCTACAATGAAAATTACAAAACCTTAAAGAAAAAAATAGAAGAGGATACAAGAAATGGAAAAATCTTCCATGCTCATGGATTGGAAGAATCATTATCATCAAAATGTCCATCTCCCAAAATCAATTTATACATTCAATGCCACACCAATCAAATAGTGAAGACCTTCTTCTCAGATCTGGAAAAAATCATGCTGAAATTCATATGGAGACAGAGGAGACCTCCAATAGCTAAAGTAATCTTGTACATCAAAAAGCAAAGCCATAGGCATCACAATACCAAATTTCAGGACATACTACTGGGCTGTTGTTATCAAAACAGCGTGGTACTGGTACAGAAACAGATGGATAGGCCAATCGAACAGGAACAGAATAGAAACACAAGAAATGAATCCAAACATCTACAGTCAACTTATATTTGATCTAGGATCTAAAAACAATCCCTGGAGTAAGGACAGCCAATTCAATAAATGGTGCTGGGAAAATTGGATTTCCATGTGCAGAATCATGAAGCAAGACCCCTACCTTTCACCTTACACAAAAATCCACTCAACATGGATTAAAGACTTAAATCTACCACCCGACACCATCAAATTATTAGAGAGCATTGGAGAAACCTTGCAAGATACAGGTTCTGGCAAAGACTTCTTTGAAAAGACAACAGAAGCACAGGCAGTCAAAGCCAAAATTAACATTTGGGATTGTATCAAATTGAGAAGTTTCTGTACTGCAAAAGAAACAGTCAGGAGAGTGAAGAGGCAACCGACAGAATGGGAAAACATATTTGCAAACTATGCAACAGATAAAGGATTAATAATCAGAATCTACAAAGAGATCAAGAAACTCCACAACATCAAAACAAACAACCCACTTAAGAGATGGGCCTAGGACCTCAAGAGACATTTTTCAAAAGAGGAAATCCAAATGGCCAGCAGAAACATGAAAAAATGTTCAGGATAACTAGCAATTAGGGAAATGCAAATCAAAACCACAATGAGGTTTCACCTCACCCCGGTGAGAATGGCTCACATTCAGAAATCTAGCAACAACAGATGCTGGAGAGGATGTGGGGAAAAAGGAACACTAACCCACTGTTGGTGGGAATGCAAACTGGTGAAGCCACTATGGAAGTCAGTCTGGAGATTCCTCAGAAACCTGAAAATAACCCTACCATAAAACCCAGCCATCCCACTCCTTGGAATTTACCCAAAGGAATTTAAATTGGCAAACAAAAATGTGGTCTGCACCTTAATGTTTATTGCAGCTCAATTCACAATAGCTAAGACCTGGAACCAACCCAAATGCCCATCAACAGTAGACTGTATAAAGAAATTATGGGACATGTACTCTATAGAATACTATACAGCAGTCAAAAACAACGAAATCCAGTCATTTGCAACAAAATGGAGGAATCTGGAAAACATTATGCTGAGTGAAATAAGCCAGTCCCAAAGGGACAAATATCATATGTTCTCCCTGATCGGCTACAATTAACTGAACACCAAAGGGGAAACCTGTTGAAGTGAAATGGACACTATGAGAAACAGTGACTTGATCAGCCCTTGTCCTGACTGTTGATGTACAATGTAATACTTTATCCTTTTTATTACTTTTTTGTTCTAGTACTATTGGTTGAACTCTGTAATTAACACACAATTATTCTTAGGTGTTTAAATTTTAACTGAAAAGTGATCCCTGTTAAATATAAGAGTGGGAATAAGAGAGGGAGGAGATATACAATTTGGGACATGCTCAATCGGACTTGCCCCAAATGGTGGAGTTAGAAACGTGCCAGGGGATTCCAATACAATCCCATCAAGATTGCATGTACCAATGCCATCTCACTAGTCCAATTGATCAATTTCAGTTCACAACTGATAACAATGATAGGTCTAAGAGTCAAAGGGATCACACAAACAAGACTAGTGTATGAAAATACTAACTGATTGAATAAAACAAGGAGAAAACAATCCAACATGGGATGTGGGATACACAGCAGACTCATAGAATGGCAGATGTCCTAAACAGCACTCTGGCCTCAGAATCAGCCCTTAAGGCATTCAGATCTGGCTGAAGAGCCCATGAGAGTATTTTAGGCATGGAAAGCCAAGACACTCTGGCAAAGAAAAAAAAAGAAGACCTAAATGAAGGATCTCTGTGAGTGAGATCCCAGTGGAAAGAATGGGGCCATTAAAGAAGGAGGCACCTTTCTCTGAAGAGAGGAGAGAACTTCCACTTTGACTATGACCTTGTCGGTGTAAGATCAAAGTCAGCGAACTCAAAAGGCTTCCATAGCCTTGGCAACTCATGACTAGAGCCTAGGGAGATTACTGACGCCATAAACAAGAGTGTCAAATTGTTAAGTTAACAACAGGAGTCACTGTGTACTTCTCATTGGATCTGTCCTTAATGTGTTGTCCAATGTGAAGTAATGCTATAACTAGTACTGAAACAGTATTTTTCACTTTGTGTTTCTGTGTGGGTGTAAACTGATGAAATCTTTACTTAAGATATACTGAATCGATCTTCTGTATATAAAGATAATTGAAAATGAAAAAAAAAAGGCATGAGGGGCCAGTGCCACGGCTCAATAGGATAATCCTCTTCCTTTCAGAGCCAGCACACCAAGTTCTAGTCTCCATTGGGGGCGCCAGATTCTGTCCCGGTGGCCCCTCTTTCAGTCCAGCTCTTTGCTGTGGCCTGGGAGTGTAGTGGAGTATGGCCCAGGTCTTTGGGCCCTGCACCCGCATGGGAAACCAGCAGAAGCACCTGGCTCCCAGTTTCAGATCAGTGCATTGTACCGGCCGCAGCGTGGTGGCCACAGCGGCCATTGGAGGCTGAACCAACAGTAAAGGAAGACCTTTCTCTCTGTCTCTCTCTCTCACACTGTCCACTCTGCCTGTCAAAAAAGAAGGCATGAGTATTTGTATAGTGTATACAATTTAAAAAAAAAAACTTCAAATCCATGTCAGAAAGACACAAGTACTTTCCCAAGCACATTAGCAGGAAGCTAGATTGGAGCAGACTTGAACTGGTGCTCATATGGGATGCCTGCATCACAATGCCCGTCCCTAAAACATGAATTGTAAATGTCTAATTTCTTCATCTTATTTGTAGCAAATTGAAATGTGGTTTGAAATTGATCAAACTTGAAGAGAACATGAACAAAAATGAAAGATTTCTGATGATCTGATCAGAAACAAGATATGTTCTCTCAGTACACTTTTGTTGTGCAATTCTCCTATTAAGCTGAAGCTGAGCATCTTTTCACATGGTGAAAATCACTTCCATTTGCTTTTCTGAAGTCTATTCACAATCTTAATTTTTATAATAGCTCTCTATCCCCACCTAATTTCTCCCTTAAAAAAAAAGATTTGTTTATTTATTTGAAAGGCAGAGTTATAGATAGAGAGGTGGAGAAAGAGCGAGGGAAAGAGATCTTCCATCCCCAGGTTCATTCCCCAAATGTCTGCAATGGCTGGTGCTGGGCCAGGCCAAAATCAGGAGGCTGGAACTGATTCCAGGTCTCCCACAGGAGTGGCAGGTTCCCATGAATTTCAGTAGTCTTCTGCTGCTTTTCCAGGCATATTAGCAGGGAGCCAGATAGGAAGTGGCTCAAGTGGGACTCTAACCAACATTCTTGGGATGCCAGCATCGCAGCCAGCAGTTCTTCCATGTCTGACACATGTTGGCACCTCCTTACTGATTTCTACTGATTCTTTATTAGAAAAATCAGCTTTTGTGCATATTATGAATTACAAATATTTTCTTCAGTTTTTCAGAGTTTTAAACAGGGTGGGTGCTTGTGTGTGTGTGTGTGTGTGTGTTGCATAATTTTGGCTATAGTTTTGCTCTTTTTATTTAGCTTAACATCCTTTACTGTCATGGCTTCAAGACTGTGAGACATGAGTACATGAGTTAGAGAGCAGTTCTCAACTGCAATGCTTCCTTCATTGAACCAGCAGCTGTGGTGTGATGTACCTTTGAGTCCATTTTCTTAACCATTATGCAAAGCCCCTAAGGTGGCTCAAGACCTGCTGCCTCTTTCGCCACTGGTTCAGTGTGAAACTCTAAGAAAATATGTAACTCACTGTACTTCTACACCATCGACTAAACGAGATCAGATTTATAATAGCTGTGCATTCAAATTTTCACAGACCAAGACTCTAGACTTATAAACCCATAAATTACAAGCACTTAATTGTATAACTCAAATAGTTAACACCATTCCAACAATTTATTAGTCAGTAACTCATTCTGCTGTCTGAAAAGGACTTGTGTGCCCTTGAAAGCAAGGCCAATTCCAGTGGAATCCTAGGAAGGACATTTGGCTGGATTATGACCACAGTTATAACACATTTATAAACATTTCTGCCTGCCCACTGAGTACCAGCCATTGTGCTAGCACATAGGCTGAAATGTATTCCCTCTAATTCATTCACTGAGGTTCTAGCATTCTGTGCCTCAGACTGTGCCCTCATTTGGAGATGGGATCTCATTAGAGGTAATTGTTAGTGAGACCATCAGGTTGGGCCCTAACCCACCTTAAAAGGATGGGAAATTTAGAAACAAACAGACATGCACAGAGGGAGAATAATGTGAAAAGACACAGGAGAAGATGACCACAAGTCAAGGAAGGAGGCCCAAAATAGATTCTACCAAACCTCCACTTTGGACTCCACTTTGGTCTATGGAACTGTGAGATGTAGGTTTCTGTTAATTAAGCCACTGGGTCTATGGAACATCACTACCCCAACGCCCAACCAGTGGAAACTCTTCTGCCCAACACACAATGAAGAGCAACAGAGAAGCAAGCAATCATAGTTCTCCCCCAATGGTTCATGGGGGAGAAAAGCAGGTCAATAAGCAACAGTAACAACATAATAATGTCTTCAAATGGCAGGAAGTTCTGACCTCAACACACAAAGATTTCTGAAAATAACACACAAGGAATTTTAGGGAAAAAAATTAAATAAGAATTCCTTTTATTTTTCTATTTTTCCTATCTTCACTTTTCCTGGTAAATACCCTCTTTTGTTGTTGTTTGATGCTCTGCCTTTTAAAGAAAATCCCTCTCTATAAAGGGTCCAGACTCTTCATTAGCCCAAGTGTTTATCTTCTTCCTTCTTCCTTGAGCCGTCAGGCAAGATCCTCTGCCAGCATTCATGTGCTGGCTTTTCTTACTCTCTTCCCTTCTATCTCCTCTCCTTCCTTCCTTCTTCTGTGGTCTCTGTTCCAGTGCTGTGCAGATGAGAAAACAGAGACATGGAGACCTGTCTCTGACATCACACACAATTTACAAGTATGTTCCAATGAAAACATTACTTGCTCACCCTACATGTGATACAGAATCTTGGAATTCTGGTATTTAGGCTGTCTTTAACTAATACTCAAGGAGTGACTATTTTCAAAATGAGCCTCTTATAGAAAATGCCATGAATCCCTTTCCTTTCAATCTCTATTTCTAAGCCTTAATTAAATTATTAGCAACAATAATTTCTTGCCATAACAAACTGTGTATGCTATAAACCAGGGGTGGGGAACATTTTTACTGCCAAGGGCCATTTAGCTGCTTATAACATCATTCATGGGCCATACAAAATCATCACCTTAAATTAGTTTGCTATACATTTATTGAATTTTAATTCCCACCTACAGTTGCCTTGGCAGAGCCAGACCAAATGATTTCCTAGGCTGTTCCCCAACCTTGCTAAACAAATAAATTGCACAATCACACAGCCCTTTCAGCCTGCCAGGACATAAGGGTCCTTCTATAGCATAGGAAGAACAGCACAGTGGTGTGAATATGCACTGGCACAGGAAAATTAGACCAAAATATCCTTCAGTAATTAAACACAGGTAGCAACTTATTTAGTATTTCTTTCTCTCTCAAAGCAACTTTACTTACTTTAAATCTCAAAAAAACAGGCAAAGTCATACATATATACAGAAAAATGCTGCTTTCTCCATATGTTATGAAGATTCACAAATCAAAAATAAATTGATCTTTGAATATCATAGCATTTGGCACCAATAAGAAGAAAAGTAAAAGCCTGCAATATTTTGTAATATAGTGTTTTATGCACTGAAAGAAACATTTTAGAAAAATATATATCTTTATTGGCATAGGATATCTCCTTAAATATTAGTGAAATAATAATACAATTAGGATATTTGATCTCTTAGTCACAGAAAGTTATGCCACTCTGCACAAGGCAAGCTCTAATTTAGCTCTCAATACCATCAGACTTAAAGCTGCTGCCATCAATTTAGTACTTACGAGTACACATTTGAACAAGGTATTTTATATTTTTCTGTTGAACTCACTTACTTTAATAACACAATGAGGCACACACAACTACACCCATTTCTGTGTCACAGAAATTGAAGCTCAGGGTATCTAGTTTGTTTTCCCAAGATTATACTCAGGACACACCAGGACCCCTGAAGTTCAAGTTCCCACTGTTCTCACTTGCCCATAGCAGCAGAACTAGCAGCCTACCTGATATCCACTCTCTCTCTTGTTTATTACTAATAAATACCAATTTCATCTGGGTAACAACATATCTATAAAAATTTCTAATTTCCAGAGTGGAAAGTCATTGTAATCCATAAACTGTACTTTGGAAATTAATATTTATTAAATAAAAAAAAACAAAAAAATTTCTAATTTCACTCCCTGTCTTTACTGGAAGTGACCCTATGTAACAGGTTCGAGAGGCATTCTTTTCCAAAGGAAACACAATGCTCACTTGGATAAAATCTTAAGCACCTATACTCCTACCAGGGATTCAGCCTGGAGAATTTAGCTATCACCTCACAGCCATGAAGACCAAGCACACATTATGACTGTACAACGTGGAAAAAAGACTGCCTTCTGCCAGTCTTCTTGCAGGAGATACATTCAACCTCATTTATTCAGACACTAGGGGGAAACAAGAGTTTCCTACCATTTGTAGCTGGAAAGCCTTCCCTAACGAATTCACCAAAAACTTCATAACCTGAATCAGTATGGTTCTTATGTAACACAGTTCATAAGCTTACATTTCCCAAGCCATATCTCCTTTTAAACCCTGGGGTAATGAGTCTGGGCTCTGGGATAAAAGTGAAGGACACACAGAAAAAGCTTTTATCCATAAGGACAGGAAAAATGGGGCATATGGTGACAAAGACAGAGGTAAGAGGTCTCAAAAATATCCTTTTACACTGTTGTAATTATTTTAACCTTGTTAGTAATTTTTAAAAGAAAGGAAAACAACCATAAATGGCTATGAGTCTGTACCTTCTGTGTCAAGAAATCATCAAAGTGATATTACCTTCCTTGGGTCTAGGGGATAATTCAGGATACTTTTCTGTAATGGTCTTCTTTTCAGCTGTCAACAATGACTGCAGGCAAAATAAGAATGATGGAATTTATGTGACAAGAGCAAAAAATTTATTTTTATAATAATCCAAATCTTAAATTACACACTCCTTTAACACATTCTTGTTTTCCTATACTTATATGCACCAATTTAAGGATTATTAAGGCACATACTCCTTATATACTTATAAAATTTTTATATTTTCAAGAATCTAAAGAGAGTAGACTGATAGAAAAATTTCACGTTAATATTAATGTTAATAACTTCATTTATACAACACTAACTACCTAGAAGGTCTTAATTACTGTACCCAAATTATCTTGAGAGTTTATGACAGAAATTCTCGAGGACTGTACATTGCCACATAGATGAAAATTAACAGTAGATCGCTACTAAAAATATTGTGTATATCCTTGTTTACAGGCCTTTGTATGGCTGAGAAACAGGTTTTTTTTTTTTGGCCTTTTTTTGCCCCTTATAATATTTGTTGAGCTCTTTACTTACTGTAGGGTTAATTTTATGAATATTAAAGAAACTGAAAACAGATTTCTTTGTAAAAATTAAGAATGGGAATATAAGAGAAAGGAAGAAGAATGATGGGAGTGCAAGCAGGAGGGAGGGTAGGGTGGGAAGAATCACTATGTTCCTAGCTTTCTATATGTGAAATGAATGAAGTTTGTATACCGTAATTAAATTTACAAAAAAAAAAATGAAGAATATTCCAGGTCCAGCACTATGATGTAGCAGGTAAAAGCCACCGCCTACATTGCTAGCATCATATATGCGTTTGGGTTCAAGTTCCGGCTGCTCCACTTCGAAATTAGCTCCCTGCTAATGTGCCTAGGAGTACAATAGAGGATGGCTCAAGTCCTTGGGCCCTTGCACCCACATGGAAGACCTGGAAGAAGTTCTAGGCTCCTAGCTTTGGAATGGCCCAGCTCCAGCCATTTGGGGAGTGTACCAATGGATGACAGAACTCTCTCTTTCTGCCTCTTCCTCTCTGTAACTCTGCCTTCCAAATAAATAAATAAATTTGAAAAAAAAAAAACAGAATAATCTGGTCATTTCATCAATATTGTTCTTGTGAAGACTAGTGTACACAAAATGGCTTCAACTTCTGAGAACATTATCAGAATGTAATCTCAGTTACAAATAAGCAGAAAGGTTCTGCATGACATAAAGTAGTAATACTGACCTGCCACAATTGTTAAAGGAACTCAAGGAATGAGGGGAGCGAATTATGCATGAATTACAGTGTCACTGAAAGAAAATAAAGAAGGGAATTCCAAAGAAATGTAATTGCAATGGCCTAAATGTGCAGGAATCCAGGATTTCTTTTTCAGTATTTAAGGGATATTATTTCAATAGCTACTTTACTGGAGTTCCAGAAGTATCCTGAAATCCTTCTCCACACCTGCGCCATGATTCCAAGAGGGAGACAGCTGCTCCTCCAGTCCTGATTCCCGCTCCTCTGCACGGCAGTGGCCCGTCTCCTGGGAAGGATGGATACTCTATACCCCGATTCTTCTTTCTCTGAGGTGATTTTTAAGAGGAAGAAAAAAAAAACTAAGTCAATTTCATTAAATAGATGTGAAAATGACAGCAGACAATTTGGAAATCCAGTAACAGCAGCAAGGGCACCATTTTTGTAACTCTCTGAATCTTCACATAAAGATAGAGCACCTGGATCAATAAAACCAAAAGCATGTAGACAGCACCTGCAAGTAGTCAATAAACTCCAAAATCAAGCAGGTGAGTACAAACTATCAACCCTGTGAAGTTTCACACAATAACAGGATCTGCAAGGAAGGAAGCTGAGGGAAGCCAGTGGGGGAAGCTGGCCCTGAGATCCTAGCCATCCAGGGCTCACAGGGAAGCAGAGCAGACCTCAGCCTGAGAACTGCACCTGCACCAGGTGACAGTACCATCCTAAGGGGACAAGACAGGCCAGGGGCAGCATGGGATACTTTAAACTGGTCAGGGTCCCATGCTGAGGAGAAAGTGTTGGGAGTAGAATCCACTCAGGAATACACGGACAACAGAAATAAAGAAAAGGTCCTGTTGGAGCAGTGTGACTGAGCAGAGCCAGGGACTATCTACATATAAACAAGTGGCCATGTTTTTGCAAATAGCAAGGGAAAAAAACAGCAACAATAAGGTATACAAGCTACCCTACGTCTGTTATCCTTCTCAAATTCAGGGAAAGATGACATTAAAATAAATACAGGGAATGGGCATTTGGTACAGAGGTTAAACAACCAGTTGGGAAAACCATCCCATATCGGACCAGAGTGCCCGTGTCCCACCCTTGGCTCCAATTCCAACACCAGCTTTTTGATAATGCACAGATTATGGCTCAAGTAGTGGGGTCTTGTGCCATCCACGTGGGAGAACTGAGTCCCAGATCCTGAAGGAGAAAACCATAACAATGGGACAGAACAAATACTAAACACTACAGTTCAAAAACATTTTCCTTAGCCCACATCTGGCTTTCTGCCCAGGCTGTCATTTCAACTTCCCTCAATCTCACTATGATGTATCCCTCAGAAATCCCTCCTCTGGGATACTTTCTGTACTACCATAGGCCTTAGTGGCTTTTTTTGAACCATTCATTTGGAAATAAGACACAAATTAACTTTCAATAACACCACCCCTGTTATCTTGTAAAATGTTGCTTTCCTCTATTGTCTTCTTCCTTCTGAAATCAGAATTTCATGTATAACCTATGTTCTACATGTGAAAAATTCTAGAAGTTCTAGCTTCCAGAACTTCCTGGTTTCCTCATTCATACGTAAGTAATTTTAGCATTTGTGGAATAAAGTTAGAGGCAACATAAATAATTACTCTAACTATATATAGGCCCACATCTATGCTATCTCTATGCTACCTTTTACTCTCAGGGAAGAGTTTCAGGAAAGGGCATAACCATTCCAATGCTTCAAAATGTTCAGTTGAAAAACTCTGAAGGGTCTAACAGCTTAAATATATTTAAAGTTGTTCTTTTGCTCTCAGAGAAAATAAGGAAACAGCTGTCATAGTTTATATAACTTTCATATAATTTCAAAATGAAGATTATTATATCCTAAGTAGTAAATCCTGAAATACGCAATTCTGCTTGGATTTAAAATAGGATAATTACCTAATTTTGGGACCATCAAATACCTAGGCAATGTTCAAACAACCCGGACTACTTCAATACAGCTCAACTAAAAGATTTTGACACTAGGATCCTGCATCTGTTAACTTCGCTCTCCATTTTCACTCTTCTCAACAATCTGGAACTTTTTAATGTAACAATGTCAGAAATTTGGTGATCTGTTTTATTTTCATCACTTGAAAGGAAAAGTAGCAGAAATATTTTCCGCTGTACCTGCCCTCCAGATCAGGATGCCATTAGTTGGACGCTTTTTTCTCCATGAAATGAAAAATCCCTATGGTACAAAAACTGCCCATACCAAGCTTGCTACAATCACCCTGCAAACCCCATTCTCACTCAATCTAGGGTTTTAAAAGTCAAAAATAAATGGAAACTGCTAATACATCACAATCACCATCCAGTTTTATTAATCATTTTCCACTCAAAAGTGAACAATGGGGGCCAGTGTTATGGTGCAGCAGGTTAAGCTGCTGCTTGCAATGTCAGCATCCTGTATCAGAGGGCTGGTTTAAGTCCTAGCTGCTCCAATTCTGATCTAACTTCCTGCTAAAGCAACCAGGAAGGCAGCGGAAAACGGCCCAAGTTGTTGAACCTGCCACCCACATGAGACCTGGATGGAGTTCCTGACTCCTGGCTTCAGTCTGGCCCGACCCTAGGTGTTGTGGCCATTTGGGGAGTGAATCAGCAGGTGAAAGACCTCTTTCTCTGTCTCTGTCTCTCCTTCTCTCTCTGTTGCTCTGCTTTTCAAATAAATAATTAAAAAAAAACCTGAACAATTAATTCTTCTTGGTTCTTTCCCATTCCTGATTCCCCACTGTTAAATAGTTGATGCACAGCAACCTATGAACTGAGTCTATGACTTAATCCATACAAAGATCACACTAGCAAGCACATCATCAAAATCCCTTCAAAGGTCACAGATTCAAATATTTGTTCTCACTTCCTCTAAGTTATCTGACCAAATCTATGCTAGGGGTTCACTGCTAACCTCAGAGGAGGGAAGTGTGAAGAAACACAGCAGTCCTTAACTTCACAGCAATCAGTTAAAAAATGATGCTAAGCTGGTCTTTCAATTAAATCTTTCATCTAATTACAAGTCATTTGAAACATATGTCGGTATCACATGCTGCTAAAGTGTAACCAGCTCCAAAGAAAGTAATCATGATGATTCGTATTATTCACTGGGCACTTGGAAGGTGCCAGACACTGTTAACAAACATATCATACACATTATCTCATCCAGGTCCTATACATTACATTATAATGTAATGAGTACGATTAATCCCAATTTGTAGACAAATTAAGAAGAGACCATGTAATGCCATATATCTATAAATGACTACCATAAGATCCAAACCCAGGTTGGTCTAAACCCAAGGACCTTATCCTTAATGTGGCTACAATTTTACACAAATGAGAAAGACACCCCTTTCCATGTACTTTTAGTTCAATCTATCAGAAAACTGCCATTAATGGATTGATGTTGTTAGGAAACACTGTGGAAAAGTATCACAACAAACATGCAAGTCTAACAGGTGCTCATCACTAATGAGGCTCCATAAGGCACAGAAGTTCTTAATCCATACAACAAAAGGCACCTGCTCTCATACTAAAAGCCAATGGAATTTCAGTACTTTTTTTACTAGTTAGCTATTTTTAAGATTTATTTATTTTTACTTGAAAGTCAGAGTTACACACAGAGAGAAAGAGATGTAGAGAGAAAAGAAGAGAGAGAGAGAGAGAGAGAGAGGACTTCGATCCTCTGGTTCACTCCCTAATTGGCCACAATGGCCAGAGCTGTGCCAATCCGAAGCCAGGAGCCAGGAGCCAGGAGCTTCTTCTGGGTCTCCCAGAGGTGCAGGGGCCCCAGGACTTGGCCATCTTCTACTGCTTTCCCAGGCCATAGCAGAGAGCTGGATAGGAAGTGGAGCAGCTGGGACTCGAACCAGTGATCATATGGGATGCTGGCACTGCAGGCAGTGGCTTTACCCACTACGCCACAGCACCGGCCCCTAGTCAGCTATTTCAAAATGGAAGACATGGAGATGCCTCAGAAATCTGACAACTGATCTACAAATGACCCAGCTATCCCAATTTGAGATTTACCCAAACAAAGTGATATCAGCATATGAAAGAGTTATCTGTACCCCTACCTTTATTGCAGCTGAATTCACAATAGCTAACATATAGAATCAACGCAGATGTCCATCAACTGATGCCTGGATAAAGAAAACATGGTATATACACAATATGGTATATATACACACTTGGCCATAAAAAAGAATGAAATCCTGTCTTTTGCAACAAAATAGATGCAACTGGATACCATTATGCTAAATGAAATAAGCAGTCTCAAAAAGACAAATATCATATTTACTTTGATATGGCAGTTAATATAGAATACAAAAAATATACATACAAGAACAAAGCAGATATCTTGTGACATTATTGTTGCTTTTAGCTCTTGTTTACACTCCTATGGAACTGTGGTCTTCCTACTTCTTATTTTCCATTTATTATTTATAAATATCTATTTAAAAAGAAGAATTACAGGGGTTGGGGGAGGAACAGGTGAAATCTTCCATCTATTCCATCCACTGGTTTATTCCCCAAATGGCTGCAATGGCTGGGGGCTGGTCCAGACTGCAACCAGGAACCAGGAACTTCATCATTGTCTCCCATATGGGTGAAGAAGCCAAGGGACTTGGGCCACCCTTTACTGCTTTCCCAGGCGCATTAGCAGAGAATTGGATCAGAAGTGGAGCATATGGGATCCCAGCGTTGCAGGTGTCAACTCAACCAATGATGCCACAATGCTAGCCCTGTCTTCCTACTTTTTAATTGCTGAATATTATGGTTAGTGGTGAATCAAGAGTGTTATTATTCATATGGTTGAAATCACATTTTCACAAAAATTAATGAAAAGATGGGAGGGAAGGAGAGATACTGGGAAGGAGAGGGAGGGAGAGAAGTACAGTTATCTTAGAACTGTACTGATGAAATAGGAGAAATCTGTTCTCTTTGTATTAATAAAAAGAGTTCATTGATGATGGAATTGAAACATAAGTTTACCTTGAGGCAAAAATTTTTGAAATCCATGCATTCTTATTATTAAAAAATAATTTCAGCAAACTAGAACTTGCAATAGCTTAGACACAGGAAACAAGAAGATACAAGATAAGCCCTGCCCACAATAAATCAACACAACTACTGGATGTCAACACACATACACATAAATACACAAAAAAGGTACAAGAGTAATAAGAGAAATCAATGGGAGGATACATAGGCAGTATATACAACATGAAAATGTAATTCTAAAAATCACTTTCTCTCAATAAAGTCTCACTGTAACCCTGTGATTTGAATAGGGCAAGAATCACATACTCACTTCAAAATGGGGGAAAGTCTAAAATTCAGTCAAGAACTTCCAGCAATGCAAGGGAGTCTAGTGAAGGAAACACCTGCTACATTGCATTCAGAAAACACTGTGTGTGCTGTTTTAAACTACCCACCTACATGAGGATAGCAGTTCACACTTCTGGTGTGTCGCTCCCACTCTTCGTGGAGGAATGACACTGGACCCTGCGTTGTTCTTTTGTCTGCTCGGCCCTCCCCGGGTTTGCTGCTGGTTCTTCCCGGGTTGGCTACCATCCCTTCCACCTCCGTGGAAGGGCGGTTCCCCCTGCAACTTTCCCCACTTCCACAGGGGAGCGGCACACCGCCGGCCGGCCGGCTCTCTCGGGGGCTGCACAGGTGTTCCTCTTAGATGTTCCTGGTGCATGTTGTCTCTCTCCTCCTTTATAGTCCTCTTCCACCAATCCCAACTCTGCTACCCACACGCCGAGTACGCTGCTCTCCTCCAATCAGGAGCAGCTCCTGCAGCTTGTCAAGTTGGCGAGAGGCAGCTGGGTAGAAGCTGTTTCCTCCTCTCCCAGCGCCATATTGTAGGAGAGCAGATGCATAGAGTAAGTCTTAATTCCAGTAACAGTCTAGTCCGAGTTGCTCCCCACAGATCCCCCTTTCTTTTTATTTTTGGCGTTGATACGCGCCTGTCTTCGGTGGCCCGTGGCACACACTCTGATCTGCTTGCTAGAGTTGTCCACAGGTGCTTACAAGCCCTACCAGTCAGGGAAACCGAATCCGGGTCCTCTCTTCGCCATGTTGTGAGAAGGTTTTTAGGCGCTGATGCCTGCCTGTGTTCGGTGCCCTGCAGCGCATGCTCTACTCTGCTAGAACTGCCTACAGGTGCTTACAAGCCCTACCAATCAGGCAAACCGAATCCGAGCCTTCTCGTTGCCGTATTGTGGGGAGACTTATTGATGTTGATTCGTGCCTATCTTCGGTGACCTGCAGCTCATACTCTGGTCGAACTGCCTGCTGGTGCTTATCGCCTCACTAATCAGGCAGACCGAATCCAAGCCCTCTCATTGCCATGTTGTGGGGAGGCCTTATTTTTCTCTGTTTCTCTATCTCCGGGCATTCCTGTTTCTCCTATTTTACTTCTATCTGCCAGCATTCCTATTTCTCTCATTTTACTTCTAAACTTCTGTTTCTCTTATCCCTGCGGCTTCCCGGCGCCCGCCCCGAGGCTGCTTCTCAGCGCCTCGCCCCGCAGCTGCTTCCCGGCTCTGCGCGGCTTCCCGGCTTCACGTGCGCTCTGCGGTCTCTGCGCCCTTCACGCCCACACCACGGCCTCTGCGCTAGCCCCGCGTTCCCTATCTACTTGCGCCCCGCGCGCTCTCTGCACACGGCGGCTTCCGCGAATCACACAGCCTAGCTCACGTTTCCGCCACCGGTATTCAGTCTAAGTTCCCTGGGCTAACCTGGCAAATTCAACCTAGCTCACGTCTGCGCCCTTCGGTTTGGCTTCCCGTCTTTTGCTCCCCGGGCTAATCTGACGGATTCCAACCTGGCTTACGTGTCTCTGCCTCTCGTTTTAGCTTTTCGCCTTTTGCTCCCCGGGCTGAATTGACGAATCCCAAGCTAGCTTACGTCTCCGCCTCAGCCTGCCCCCGTGGCTTCATCCTCCCTAACATTTTTCTCTACCCGGTATGTTTCCTAACTTTTCTTCCAACAATATTCCCGTCTCATTTCTCCTGGCTTCTCCCCACAGTCCGCATCCGAGTCTAAGTTTCTTCTAGGTTTCACTTTCGCTTTCAATCTCCTAGCTTCCCCGCCATAGTCCGTATCCGACTCTAAATTTCTTCTTGCTTTCACTTTCACTTTCAATCCTAGCTTTCAATCCTAACTTCTTTCCCACAGTCCATATCCGAGTCTATGCCTAGGCTTTCGATAGCTTCTTCCGGCACCTTTTCCGTCTGGCTTTTCCCTAGGCTCTTTGCTAGTCTCTCTCTCCGGTATTTTCCCACTTTTTCCCTCCTAGGTTTCCTATCCAAGTCACGGCACCATTATGTCGCTCCCCCTCTTCGTGGAGGAACGACACAGGACACTGCGTTGTTCTTTTGTCTGCTCGGCCCTCCCCGGGTTTGCTGCTGGTTCTTCCTGGGTTGGCTACCGTCCCTTCCACCTCCGTGGAAGGGCGGTTCCCCCTGCCACTTTCCCCACTTCCGCAGGGGAGCGGCACACCGCCGGCCGGCCGGCTCTCTCGGGGGCTGCTCAGGTGTTCCTCTTAGATGTTCCTGGTGCATGTTGTCTCTCTCCTCCTTTATAGTCCTCTTCCACCAATCCCAACTCTGCTACCCACACGCCGAGTACGCTGCTCTCCTCCAATCAGGAGCAGCTCCTGCAGCTTGTCAAGTTGGCAAGAGGCAGCTGTGTAGAAGCTGTTTCCTCCTCTCCCAGCGCCATATTGTGGGAGAGCAGATGCATAGAATAAGTCTTAATTCCAGTAACAGTCTAGTCCGAGTTGCTCCCCACACTGGTGCAGGTTGCTACTTCCAGGGGGAATCAACATGTGCTTCATTCTCAAAGAGCTGTTCCGTTTAGACCTATCTTGTAACTCCCTGAAGAACTGTAGCATGAGTCTGACTTTTTTTTTTTTTTCAGAAAACTTGAGCCATCCCAGAGCTGGGACAATTCTTACACAGCATTTACTCAACACATCTTTAAGAGCAAGTATGGGTCACAGCAGCCTAGAGCAATGGACAACAGTCAGGACGAGATACACAGAATGAAATACAATAAAAGGAACAAACTGGGAAAGGAGATATGAGGTAAACAAAAGCTTATAAAAGTTCCTTTATATACAAAGGCATCAAAAGGCCAAAGGAATGACCTAGAAAACTCATGAAGACTTAAGAATATCTGAAGCACTCAACTCTGGCTGACATTAAGGATCCATGCAAGCAAGAAGTCAAAGTTAAGACATAGTTACAAACATCTTGGCTGCGTATGAAAAACACACCTGCACACAGAGCCAATCTGCAAATGGGGAAGGTATTTTTTCCCTCAGATTTTTCCCTCTACCTTTCTGTATTTGCTTTTTTTCTTTCTTTTCTTCCTTTCTTCTTTCCTTCCCTCCCCTCCACTCTCTTTTTTTCTGTCTTCAGGCATTTCAAGAAATTCTATCATCACACTAATTAACCACTAAGTTAAAGGACCACTAAAAGTTAAAGATGTCAGTGGCAATATAGAAAATGCAGATTTCAAAATATAGTTCAGGAAGCTCACTAAAATATCACACTACAAACAGCAATAGCAAACCTCATGGAAATGGAGAATATAATTTCCAGAGTTGTCACACTGTAATATCCAAATCCAGTTCTCAATATAATTTTTGAAGACATGCAAAGAAATAGGATAATACAGCCTATATAAAGGAAAAAATCCAGATATCAATCTTTACAAAGATATTAAATAAATAATATTAAATATATTCAAAGAATTAAAGAAAACCACAAAGAACTAAAAACTAGGAAGCGGGAATAGCAATTTGCAAAATAAACAATCAATAAAGAGAGAAATTAAAAAAAATGAGCCACATGTAAATTCTAGAGGAAAATTCACTGACAGATTTGACAGCAGATTTGAAGAAAGAAGAATCAGTGAATTTAGAGACAGATTTAACTGAGGTTATCTCTCCTAAGGAAGCAGACAGGAAAAGGAGTGAAGAGAAATAAACAGAACTTGAGACCCACAAAACACTAAGTACACCAACATAACAAAAGTGTTAGCTCAAAAAGAGAGAAGGAGCAGGAAGAGAGAATATATGAAGAAATGGCTGACAATTCTGATAAAAGAAATTAATATACATATGCAAAAAGCTCAATAAAAACTAACCAAAATAAAACACAAAAAGATCCACACTAAGAAATACTTCCCAAGACAGAATCTTGAAAGGAGCAAGAGAGAAGTGACTTGTCACATAAAAGGGATACTCATTAAAGACTGACAACAGGTTTCTGATCAGAAACTATGGAGGCCAGTAAGCAGTGGGATAACATGCTTGCATGTAAAGTGCTTGGAGGGAAAAGGTCCACCATGAATTCTATATTGAATAAAACTATTCTGAAGGAATAAAACAGAAGTTAAGATATGCCTGGATAAACAAAAGCTGACCAGGTCCATAAGTAGTACAAATATCCTACAAGAAATGCTAAAGGAACTTTATCAGGATGAAATGAATAGCAATTAGATAACATAAAGCCATACGCATAAAAAAGAATGGCAAGTATATGAATGTAAATATAAAAGCCAGCAATATTGCAATTATCAGTTTATAAGTCCTTCTTCCTCATGTTATTTAAAAGGAAACTCATAAAACAACAATTACATCTCTGTGATAACGGGTTCATGATGCATAAAGGTGAAAATATAAGAACTAAAGATCTGGAGCTCTACAAGGTCAGAATTTTTATATGTTACATCAGTTAAGTTGGTATTCATTCAGACTATGTTATTATAAATTGTAAAATCCAGGGAAACAGCTAAGAGAAAAAAAACTAAAAGAGAAAATGAAAAAGAAACAAGGAATTAAAACAGCACACTAGAGAATAAAATTTCACACAAAAAGGAAGTAATGGAGAAATTAGGGGAAAAAGGTATAAATATACAGAAAACAAAATATCATAATCAGTAATTAAATATAAATGCATTAAACTCTCCATTCAAAAGGCAGAGATGCCAGAGTGTATTAAAAGAGCATGAATCAAATATATTCTGTCTATAATAGTCACTTTAAGTCCAAAAAACAAAAAAATTAAAAGTGAAAGGATGGAAAAGATAATCCATGCAAATAGCAACCAAGAGAGATCAGGGGTGGTTACATCAGTATTACATAAAACCAACCTGAAAATAACCACTGTTATGTGAGACAAGAAAGGGCAAATTATAATTAAAGGGGGGGGCACTAGAGCAGGCACTGTGGTATAGGGAGTTAAGCCAACGCCTACAGTGCTGGCATCCCATACATAGCTCTCTGCTATGGCCTGAGAAAGCAGTGGAACGATGGCCTAAGTCCTTGGGCCCCTGCACCTGTGTGGGAGAACCAGAGGAACCTCCTGGCTCCTGGCTTTGGATTGGCCTAGTTCCGGCTGTTGTGGCCATCTGGGGAGTGAACCAGAGGATCAAAGACTGCTCTCTCTTTCTCTCTGCCTCTGCTTCTCTGTAACTCTGCCTTTCAAATAAATAAATAAATAAATGTCTTTTAAAAATGGCATTATGTTGCAGTGGCTTAAGCTTCTGCCTGCAACATCCACATCCCAGATCAGAGAGCCAGTTTGAGTCCCAGATTAGCTTGCTGCTAATGTGCCTATGAAGGCAATGGAGGAAGGCCCAAGGACTAGGGCCCTTTTCACCCATGTAGGAGACCAAGATGGAGTTCCTGGCTCCTGGCTTCTGCATGGCCCTGCCCTGGTCATTTCGGCTACTTGAGAAGTGAACCAGAAGATGGAAAAGAATCATTTTCATTCTCTCTCTCCCTTTCCCCTGTAGCTGCCTTTCAAAGAAGTAAATAAATAAATATTTTTTTAAAAGTATCTGCCAAGAAGATAGAATAATTTAAAATAAACATAATTCTATTAACACAGGCTTGGAATATATTAAACAAAAACTCATAGAATTGAAGGAAAAACCTGACAATTCCACAATAGATGGGGACTTCAATATCCTCCTTTCAATAGAATCAGACAGAAAGTTAGTAAGAAAATAGAAGGGGTTGAACACCCTACAAGCTGTCTAAATTTTACAGACATATGAAGAACACAACATATAATACCAACAAAGACTACTTTTTTCTCAGGTGTACATGGAACATTCTCTAGCACAGACTACAAGTATGCCACAAAACACCACTCAATATATTCTAAAATTCTGAAATCATACAAAATATATTCTTTGATCACAGTGGAATGGAACTAGAAATCGATGACAGGAAAACTGGGAAATTCACAAATAAGGAGAGGTTAAACCACACATTACAGTGAGTCAAAGAAAAATTAGAAATAAATTAGAAAGCAAATAAGGAAATGATTTCAAAACCATGAAAATGAAAATATAACATACCAAAATCTAGGAGATAGAGTGTTCACAGAAAAATTTACAGATGTAAATATCTTAAAGAGATAAAAAGACACCAAAATCAATAACCTTACACATGAAGGAACTAGAGGGGAAAAAAGGCAAGCTAAATCTAAAACTAATACCAAAAAAGAGAAAATAATGAAGACTACAGCAGAGACAGATAACATAGATAGTAGAGTTTATCAACAAAACAAATAATAAAAGTTGTTTCTTTGAAAAACATGAAATTAAAAACTTTTAACTAAGCTGATGAAGAAAATGAGTTATAAGATTTAAGTTACGAAAACAGAAAGAAGTGGGAGAATTACTACCAAACTTAAGAGAACACTAGGGGCCAGCATTGTTGCACAGCGGGTTAAAGTCCTGCCCTACAGCACTGGCATCCCATATGGGTGCCAGTTTGAGTCCCTGCTGCTCTGCTTCCAATCCAGTCCTCTGCTATGGTCTGAGAAAGCACAGGAGGATATCCCAAATGCTTGGGCCCATGCACACATGTGGGAGACCTGGAGGAAGCTCCTGGCTCCTGATCGACTCAGCTCTGCCTATTGCAGAACCAGGAGATGAAACACCTCTCTGTCTGCCTCTACCTCCCTCTGTATCTCTGCCTTTCAAATAAACAAAATAAACTTTAAAAAATTAAAAAAGAATATTAATAAATAAACAACAAAAATAAGGGAACTTAGAGGAAATAGACAAATTCCTGAAATGCAGAAACCACCAAAACTGACTCAAGAAGAATTTAAAAAATCTGAGCACATCAACAAGTAAAGTGACTGACTCAATAACTGAAAGCCTGCCAACAAAGAAAAGTGCAGGACTAGATGAATTCAGTTATTTATTTATTTTTTTAACTTTTATTTAATGAATATAAATTTCCAAAGTACAGCTTATGGATTACAATGGCTTCCTCCCCGATAATGTCCCTCCCACTCGCAACCCTCCCCTTTCCCATTCCCTTTCCCCTTCCATTCACATCAAGATTCATCCCCTGGTATGTTTCTAACTCTACCGTTTGAGGTAAGTCAGCTTGAGCATGTCCCGAATTGCACATCTCTTCCCTCTCTTATTCCCACTCTTATATTTAACAGCGATTACTTTTCAGTTAAGTTTCAGCACTTAATAATAATTGTGTATTGATTACAGTATTCAACCAAAATTATTTAAAAATGAACACAAATCATTCTCAAATTCTCCTAAAAATACAAGACAATAACACAGCTAACCCTTCTGAGGTCAGCATACCCTAATAAAACCAATATCCTTTATGAAAATACTAAAAACCTCACCAAATCACTAGCAAACTGAATCAAGTAAAAGATTACGAGGATTATACACCACTACCAAGTGGGATCTATACTAGGCATACATAAGTGGTTCAATACCTAAAAATCAATGACTGTAATATACCACATTAGGAGAACATAAGAAAAAATACAGGTAATCTATTGATACAGAAAAATGTTTTTAAAAATTCAATATGTTTTCATGATTAAAACATTTAACAACTAAATACAAGGCAATTTCTTTACGTGACACATTGCTTTTCTGAAAGGGGTCCCCTTAAGATCAGGAAAAAGACAAGGATAACACTTTTGCCACTTCAATTAAACACTGTACTGGAACTACGCAAGAAAAATAAATGCATCTGAATTTGAAAGGAAGAAGAAAAATGATCTCTATTTGAAGATGACATGATCTTATAAATAGGATACAAATGAACCCACACAAAACTACTAAAGCTAATAAATACAGAAAAGTTCCAGGATACAAGAGAAATACAGAAAAAATGAGCTGTATTTCTATACCATAGCAATAAACATTTCAGCAAGCAAATTTTTGAAAAAATTCCATCTACTGTATCACAAAAAAAAGCACTTAGGGATAAATGTATCCAAGTAGCTACAAGATTTCTACATAGAATACCATAAAACACAGCTGAAAGGAATGAAAAATAAATGGAAGAACACCTTATATTAATAGATGAGGGGACTTCATATTATTACAGCAGCAATAACACACAAAGCCTTCTACAGACTCTGTGTAATCCTTAACAAAACCTCAACAACCTCTTGTACACAAATGTAAAACGTTATCCTAAAATTCATAAATTCGAAGAGTCTTAAATGCCCAATCAATCTTGAAAAGTAAAGACAAAACTGAAAAACTCACATACCAGTTTTAAATTTACTATAAAGTTTACTATAAATTTAATCAAAGCAATATGGTACTGGCATAACAAAAGGTCTATTCATTGAAATAGAATTCACAGTCCAGAGTTAAATCCAGAGATCTATGGCCTACTGGTTGTTGAAAAACATGCTAAGAGTATTCAATATCAGAAAAAAAAAAAAAAACAACTGATGTCACTCCCCCTCTTCGTGGAGGAACGACACTGGACCCTGCGTTGTTCTTTTGTCTGCTCGGCCCTCCCCGGGTTTGCTGCTGGTTCTTCCCGGGTTGGCTACCGTCCCTTCCACCTCCGTGGAAGGGCGGTTCCCCCTGCCACTTTCCCCACTTCCGCGGGGGAGCGGCACACCGCCGGCCGGCCTGCTCTCTCGGGGGCTGCACAGGTGTTCCTTCAGATAGATGTTCCCGGTGCATGTTGTCTCTCTCCTCCTTTATAGTCCTCTTCCACCAATCCCAACTCTGCTACCCACACGCCGAGTACGCTGCTCTCCTCCAATCAGGAGCAGGTCCTACAGTTTATTGGTTGAACTGGAGGCAGCTGTGTAGAAGCTGTTTCCTCCTCTCCCAGCGCCATATTGTGGGAGAGCAGATGCATAGAATAAGTCTTAATTCCAGTAACTTAGTCTAGTCCGAGTTGCTCCCAGTTGCTCCCCACAAACTGAAATCACATTCAAAAGAATACAAGATATAGATATATAAATTAACTCAAAATGGATCAAGACCTTAATGTAACAGTAAATAATTTCAAAGAAACACAAAGGCCAGCATTATGGCACAGCAGGTTAAGCTACTACCTACAAGTCTGGCATCTCATATGGGCACCAGACTCCAATCTGGCTCCATGCTAAGGCACCTGGGAAGGCAGCAGAATATGGTCCAAGTACTTGGGCCCCTACCACTGCTGGCCCCTTAGATGAGACTCCTGGCTCATTGTTTAGGCCTGGCCCAGCTCTGGTTGTTGCAGCCATTTGACAAGTGAGCTAAGGGATAGAAGATCTTTCTTTCTTTCTCTCTCTCTCTCTCTCTCTCTCTCTCTCTCTCTCTCTCTGTGTGTGTGTGTCTCCCTCTCTATAACTCTGCCTTTCAAACAAATAAGTAAATCTTAAAACACAAACACACAAATAAATCTTCACAATCATGGGTTAGCCAGTAGTTTCTGTACATGTGACAGAAAATAAGATATATAATCTGAACATCATAATTTAAAACATCAGTTCTAAAGGATATGATGAAGAAAGTAAAAAGAAAATCTGGGAGGCTGGCACTGTGATGCAGCAGGTTGAGGCCCTGTCCTGAGGCGCCAGAATCCTCTATGGGTGCCGGTTCCAGTCCCGGCTGT